TCTAGAGGATCCCCCCCCCGACTCCGCCCACTTTTCTCCGGAGTTTTTTTCCCGGAATTTCCGGGGTCTCCGAAAATTTGAAGAGAAATGCAAGCGCGCTCGGCGGCTAACAGCGTTCCAATTTGGGACAGTTCGACAGTGCACAGTTCGAATTAGAACAGTTCGATTCTGTCCTTGTTCTGTTTTTATACTTGTTCGAGAAAGACACTGTTCTGATTTGAATCAGTTCGACTTTAAGTCTGTTCGATTTTGAAAACGTTCGAATTCGTCTCGAGCTGAATAACTTAAAATTTTCTGCGTTTTCGGATCCGCTTGTCAATTTTCACCAATTTTTCGCGAGGAGAGTTCGTACTGACATAATATTTTCTCCCTTCTTCTCCAAAATTCAGTTTATAACGCGAAAAAAAATTTTCTTGGCGGCAGTGTGTTGATCTTCGTCTGAGCGCGTTTTCTTTGAGTGCGCGGGAAACGAAGTCATACATCGATTTCAAGCTTTCCGGATAACCTTTTCCTCTCATTTTTTCTCCACCACTCCTACAAATATTTTTCAAAAGTTTTCCAGTTTCTGGACCGTATAAATCGGGAGGTTTTCTCGGCCGGAGGAAAACGAATCGGCGAACTGTGAAGCGGATGATACGAAACGGGAGGTACAGAAGAACGCCGCACTTATTGCGAAATGGTGTGGGGAGGAATTCTAAAAGTGCGGCGTTTTTGTGTTCCTCTTGTTTCGTATCCTCCACATTGTACTCCGCCGGTTCAGTTTCCTCCGGTTTTCTTTTCCTCTGCCTGGAAATCATTCCGATTTGTACGGTCTCCAGTGCTTCACATTTCAGACTTTCTCAATGACGAAAAGATCTGCGCCAACAACTCCTTCCCGGTCTGCTGCTAGAGAGCCGTAAGTTTCTCATCCGACATCCTACTCCCCACCTACAGTTTTTAGAAGGAAGGCTCCGGTTTTTCATACTGATAACGATACACCAAATTCCAGTGGTGGTGCAAGAACGCCACTAAGAACTTCCGCCAACTACAAAGTCATTATCGGCCACAGAGTCTATGATGAGTTCTACGTCGAATATGAGGTCGAGCTTCACAATGGTAAAAAGGTGAAGGCAACGGAATTCGATTTGAGGGTATTTTTTGTCGTTCCTCATAAGTTTTGAGCTTTTAGTTTGTAGAAAAACCCAAAAATGTTGGCTGCCTACAAGAAAAAAGTGACAAATCAAGATGACGACAGTGTTGGAGGTTAGTGAAGTAGTATTTCAAAGAGAAAGAATTGTTTATAGAATGCGTGGTCGAGAAGGTTCTCACTCATCGGAAGGTAGACGGAAAGCCACTTTACCTCGTTCAGTGGAAGGGATATCCACACCCAGTATGGCGTTCGGAGATGTGGACTGAAGATCTCAGCGTCAGTTCAGCAATTTTTGTCAAAATTCTCACGGGAAAAATTTCAGAACTGCAAAAATCTTCTGAAGGAATATCATTACCAATTGGAACAATCTGTTGCAGAAGAGCAAACTCCGTTGAAGTCGGCGCAGAAGTCTGTGAAGAAGCGCGCAATGCCGTCGTCTAGCGCGGAGGCAGAAAAAATCAAAGCCACTGAAACTACTCCAAGAAAGCCAGCTAAGCAGCCAAATCTCGGTTCTGCCAGAAATTCGAAAGCAAGGAGCTCTCAAATGGTCGTCAGAAGCGAAGAGGTTCAAGACGAAGATGATGTTCGTGCCGATGACCAGACTGAACATGAAAAAAATATCGCAGATGTTGGAAACCAAGGAGAGCAGCAAGACACAAGCGGCCTGCGCTGGCTAATGAACCCTTTCAGATGGTTCTAATATGTTTTCTGAAAAAATTGCCTAGCCCCAGGAAGAATCGTGACGACGCACATTCTTCAGTAAACCCTGATCTTTCTATTCCTTCCCCTAAATATTAATACTTTAAGAATCCCTATTAATTTATACTCTGTAACAATTGAGCTGTATTAACTTCCTGATTCCAAATCTAGAAGATTCCCCGAGTTTCGCTATCATTTTCAAAACAACTGATAAGAAATAAACGAAATCAAGAAACTTTTAATATTATTGTTGTTGCTGGAATCATGCTTACCTCGGATTCTTCCCCTTGCCACCATTGGTGGGTAGTGTCCGAATTTCGAATCCAGGTATCGTAATTCTGATTTTGCAACCTGACGACTCATACCGACATCCACCAGATACACGTAAACCCATGGACTCAAGTCTGCAACATTCTCCAACTTTCCGCGATACCACATGTTTTCAATTCGCACAGCACATGCGACTTTAGGAAAAAGCTGGAAAAACACTGTAGAAATTCTCATATAATTTCCCGACGAACTTGACAAGACGGAATTCTTATGCGGTCTTGATCATCTTCATAATGTATCTGCATTTTTCGCCGTAATTGTTCCTCTGTTTTGTCGAATCTTTTCGGTTGGATAGCCAGCTCGGTAGGAGTGCTGTGATCGATTACTCGAAAATACTCACAAGGGAAAAGATCGGTCTGAAAAAGTATCGATCACCACGGAGCCTACATTGAATGCGATAAACTACTCAAAACTTCACAGGTATTTAGAAATAGAATTCTCAAAAGTTTACCGGAATATTTCGGACACCGTCGAACTCTTCTGATACTTGCTCAGCGATCTTGATCATGTAACCAGGGATTGTTATTCCTTCCGCGTATTTCCATGCATATTGCGGAAATTGCTCCATCAACTTGCGTATTTGGTACTCATTTCCTGATTGTACTTCCACTAATTCTCTGCAGTCGTTGAGCTCAGCTGCTTTCTGCCTCTTTATCATATCATCGCTTCGATTCATCTTTAAATGCGGATACGATAAAAAGCCCGATTTTCCGAGATACTTCCGAAATTGGAAAATACTTTTATTCCCTTTTCTGATTTCTATTCTGGTGAAGTTACGTTTTGTGGTATACGAGAGTCATAGGCAACCTCAAAATATGAAACATTAACATTGTAATCGTGACAGCATGCGCATTTTATTCAAGAAAGAATTCTTTGGAAGAAAATGAGGTCTGGCCACAAAGATAACCAGTTTTCGCATAAAATGAAATTGTTGAGGGGGGGGGGGATATTAAAGGAGTCTGAAAATAATTTATGAAGGATGGGACAGGACGAAGAGATTCTTGACTTAGCAGTATTTAGATAAAAAGAAAGTTTGCTTGGCATTATTAAGTTTCAAAAAAGTGTAGGACCAATATTTTCGCATGCCTTTTGATGATAGGATTCGCACACTAAAACATCAGAAAATACATGTGATTTAGTTTTTAGATTTTTTTGTTGGAAGTGGATGGAGCATCTTCATCCTCAGAATCATCGCTGTTTCCAGATTCGTCGCTTTCAACCTTTTTGGCCTTTTTAGCAGACGAACGTCCAGACTTGGTCTTCTTTGGTTTTTCTTCTTCTTCTTCTTCATCCGATGATTCAGCTGCGCGCTTCTGCTTCTTCGAGGAAGAACGACTATCCTTCTTCGCTGGTTCGACATCATCCACGTCTTCCTCATCCAACTCGACGTAGCGTGTCTGTTTCTTCGACGATCGTCTCTCCTTCTTAGATGAGGTTCGGCGCCCTTTTTTACTAGAAACAGGCTCCTCATCCTCTTCATCATCGTCCGACGAATCTTTCTCTTTCTTAGCAGACTTGCGCTCTTTTTTGGACGATGCTGGCTCTTCGTCTTCATCATTATTCGAAGCAGCTCGTTTGTCTGCTTTTTTATCAGAATCATCTTCCTCGTCATCGTCATCTTCGTCGTCGGACAAGTTGAGTTGCTTCGATTTCCGAGCATTTTTCTGTTTCGACGACTTTTTAGACTTTTTCGCGGGCTTCTCTTCCTCTTCCTCATCATTTGATTGCTCAGATGAAGAATCGGCCTTCTTTTTTCCGCCCTTCGACTTGCCAAACTTTTTCGGTGATACTTCTGACGTTGTTGGCTTGACATCGTGAGACCTCTTATAAGTGTCGAGAACTTCCTTGCAATTCTAAACAAAGAAATAAATATCTTACTCAAAAATATGTAACAGTTTATATCTTAAGAAACAATACTCACTTCAAGCTCATTCTCCCACATCTCCGTGTAAGATATTGGATTTGGGAAGCCCTCCCACATCACGAGGTAAAGCGGCATTTTGTTCTTCTTGACAAAACGATGAGCGATGATTTTTTCGACAACGTAATCTGAAAGATAAATATACAGAAGTTAACTGCTATATTTTTAGCACCATGATCATCGTTATCCTCTTGACGAGTGACTTTGTACTTGTAGTCCTTCAGCATTTCGACGTTGTCCTAAATGAAAAACTTAACACTATGATTTAGTACAGAATGTGATACCTTGAAGTCAAAGTCAACAGCTTTGATCTTCTTGCCGTTGTTGAGGAGGACTTTGTACTCGACGTAGTGAGTGTTGTAAAAATCATGATCGACAATTTTTTTGAATCCGGTGTCATTGGATTTTTTCCCACTGCCCTTTTTAGCATCCTTTTTCTTGCTCTCTCCTCTCTTCTCGCTTGTCGATCGCTTGCGACTTTTTTTCTGGGCATGAACTACTTGGAAGTGGTTCGTTTGACTTCTAAAAGAAATAATTTAAGATTATTCTCTCTCTCTCTCGTTGAAAGTAGAAACATACCCAGTTCGATTGGAAGAGCGAGATGGAGTTCCGGAAGATGCTTTTTTAGCCATTTTGAGCCGTACCTGAAAAAAGTTATACAGGGAACGAAGGATTTTTTTAAACAAAAACTGAATTATGTGTGGAAAAAGAGGACGGTTTTCAATTAGGGAAAACCAATAATAATTGTTCAGTGGATCAGGGTGTTGGTATTGTTCCCACCTCGCTCAGGGAAGGAAATTCAAAATAGCCGCGCACGCGACGCAATGGTTCTGCGTCGCGGCTTATCTGAAGAGAGAGTGTTTGACCTAGACGCAGAGATATTAGCAGTTACAACGACACTCCGCTTCTAAAATGTTTTATTTTTCTTGAAAAAAATTCTAAAATTCTGCACTTCTATTTTATTTACCACTGAAATATGCTTTCAAAATTTTTTTCTTTTTACCTCGATTCTGATTTTCTAACACCGAACACCAAAAATGTTGTCAGGTCGAAATCCTACAGCCGCTCTAAAATAGCTATTACATTAAAATGTGATCACATTTTCGACCGAACTGTATTTTAAAAACGGCGCTTTTAGAGTTCTAAGAAGCTTCTAAATTTGTGTGTTTACTATTTAGCGCTTCTCATAATTAGGTTTTTAAAGGTGGGGGGACAGGAGATTTTTCGTAGTTTTTTTGTAGCTAGAGTATGCATTCTACCGTCACGGTGTACAACGCTTAATGTCACTCTGCGTACAGCTGTCGTCCTCGCCTTTATGTATGCAATCGGGCGTCCGCTTTCTCTTTGCCCGCGTGGCTCAGTCGGTAGCGGCGCCGCACCCTCACTCCTCGCCTTCACAAGCTCAACTCCTCGAGGGGCATCTTTGAACGGAATTTCGAGAACATTATTTTTTTCATGTCTCCCCACCTTTAAAGGGGGACTCCGACCAAAAATTTTTTGCATCAAAATGTGTTAAAATTTATCCGTTTTTCAAATATTATTGCAAAAAATTCAAAGAAAATCCGAAATCCCCGAAAACGGCGTTAAAAAGAAAGAAAATTAAAAAAAAGTGCCGCCGGGGGACGAGGATTTTCAGTGAGAAACCTAGGCCACGGCCCAGACAGCCTTTTTTTTCAAGTCGCCGACAGTGGTTTTTTACGTTTTTTACCTGCCGGAC